AAAACATCTCAAGGACAACGGCAGCAAGTGTGGGTTTGTTTTTGTGCAAGCGCCTGGTCTGACAAAACTGCTCGCTGTCTTTATTGTTTTGTTGCGGGATGTGGAGAAATGCATCCTTTTAACAAGACCTTGGTTGACGCACAGAGACAAATGGAGAAAATAAAATGAAAAGAGTGCTGGCTGCTCTTAAACACTGATACGTTATCATTTAGGAAGAGAGAAAGATGCTAAGGCTGACACTGCCCAGATCAAGCCCAAAAATGATAACCATGGCAACAGAGGCACCGCAAATGGAAATTGAGGGGGGGGGGGCTTCTGATCAGGGCACACACACACATTTAACTATGTGCTTTGGGGGTGGCCTCTTCAAAGAACAGATCTGAGGCTATGTACTGTATAATGTAAATTGAATGAGGGAGGACTGGTTTCCTCCATCTTTTTCTACTGTGTTTGATCACTGGTCTGTGTTTCACTGCAGTGCAGCTGCCTTTCCCCTCACAGGAAATACACACACTCTCAAATATGCAAAGATACACACACACGCGCAAATAAAGATAGTTACACACACAGATGTACACACAAGGCATGCCAACACACTCTGAAGTTGTCTGCATCTGTGTCTATTGCTTGTGTGTGTGCACATTTATGTTGCCTGTCTAGGCACAGCAGGTCTGCCAGGCGGACATCACGCAGGGTTTGGAAATGATGTCTCCACGCTGACATTCTCTCGCATGAGATCTTCTCCCCCCAAAATCCCTCTAACTCTCACCTGCCCCCTCCTTCCCTCCCTGTACTCTTCCTCTCATCTCCCTCGTGTTGCTTTCCTATTGTGCTCTATTTCTCCTCTCCGTGCAACCTTGTCTTTTCTCGTCGTTCTCTCTCTCACTTTCGTTTGCTTTCTCCCTGACTCTTTTCTTATCCTCTCCTCCTCTTCTGTTTTCACTCTCATCAGTCCAAGTAAGTTGTCTCGCCTAAATTTGATCCCCTTTTATTTTTTTCTCACTCATTCCCCATCTCAGGTCACCATTGTTCATTTGGTCAACAACAACAACAAAAAAATAGTAATTCAGAACAAAAATACACTAAAACAAAATAAGAAGTAGCCCATGAACATAAAATCAATGATGAAATGTATTATGGCTTTCAGAAATGAATAAAAAATAAACAATAATGTGACAGATGGACGAATGGACAATTGCACTAATTAAGATAATGCAATCTTACTTAATGACCAGCACCCATCTGCAGAATTATGCACTGTAGGCTAAGCAAACGTTAACGTAAGATGAAGGACTGTGAATGTGGATATCAGGTTAATGCTGGGTAATAACTTTTAGTTGGGTATATTATATTCCCCCTATGTTACACATCCCCCTTGCTGTGAGGTATATTCCCCCAATTTCACAATTCCCCCACGCTTACTGTACGGTCTAATTATCCATCAAACCCTTTGTGACCCAGACTGCCTCCTCTTGTCTCCTCCTCCTCTCTTGGTGACAAATATTAACCTTCTCCCTGCAGCTTTCTCCCTGTCTGGGGTGACTCCTACCAGGCCATGTCAGGCTTCACAGGAACTCCCCGCAAGGCTTCTGCTGTGACTAATTCTGCATCTTCTGAAGCATAATGATACATTTATCTTGTGTGGCACGCGGCCAACATTTTGAAATTCATAAACACGTGTGCTTGCACTGGAGTGCTTGTACAAAAGTGCAGGCATGCTCACGCTATCATCAACAAACACACACACACACACACGTGCAAAAAACTCACACCTAATCTGTCCCCCTCCCCCACATCCCACCCTCTTTCCAATCTCTGGGCTGTCAAGCAAAGTGTCACGGGGTGAGCTTTAGTGCCAACCCTCCCTGTAGTCCTCTACCTCCCATTGACTATTTCCAGAGTCACTCAGGCAGAAAAAAACACACAAAATGCAGAAATGGAGAGAAAGAAAGCAACGGAAGACGTTAATGCCCTCAAAACACAAACTCCTCCAAAGCAGAGGCAGGGACTGTGTATTTGCATGACATATAAACTCTGAAAGACAAATGTGTGTGTGTTATCAGGCTCCTCTGAGATGCTCTGTGTGTGTGTGTGTGTGTGGGCTACAGTACGTGCTGCTCGGCAAGTTGGCTGCATAAACTCCCTGGCAGATGTAACCTGAGGGTTTCCACATAAACATATACACACATGGAGAAAGACAGAGGAGTTGGCTCCATTTTCATCATCATGTCTGACTGCGAATCTGAGCCCTGAGTCACAGAAAGAATCTGGTGCCAGGTCCGGTGTTTTTTTTTTCTTCTACCTCCACAGAAGGTAGAAACAATACAATACAGAGAGGAGCAGACGGTCGGAGAGGCCACCGAGAGGACTGAGGGGGAGTGCAGTCTGTTCTGCATACACACAAACACATGCAGATACACACAGATACACAGCAGGGGAGTACAAGGAAAGTATAGAGAGGGTAAAGAGGGACTCAGCGATGTGAAAGCTTGTATTGCATGCCCTTCCTTGCAGAGCTCTGTGCAATAGACAGATACAAGTGCCAAATAGAAAGATAGGGAGGCTGTTGAGCAACCAGAGTAGACATACAGATAGACAAATAACTCAGAGTTTCTGTGTAAGTCGCTGTGTAAACACTGTAGCCTCATTACATGTTTCCCTGTCCTTCTCTCTGCAAAATTGAGGGTTTTAAAAAGTCAGTAAAATAAATGTGCAAACAAATGCAAAATGTCAAGTCGCACTCCAAAGTTTGGATAACTTGCTGACACATAATGAGAGGATTAAGATCCTAAACTCCGGTTTTTCAGACAAATCAAAGCGAATTTTAATGAGCTCTGCAAATATACATTTGAAATAAATATCTTGGAGATTAAACAAAATATCAAAATCATTTCCCTCTCTTCGAAATGACTAAGAAGATGAATATGAGCTTTGGAGATATCAGATTTGTTTTTTCTTCTTTAAAACTCTTATTTTCGCATCCTCTATTTGGTAGTGGTGTTGGGGTAATTATGAGCAAATGAAACAAGATGAATTAGCGGGCTGGTAGCTAAGCTAGAATTGTGCAAATGAACAAACCAGAGGCAGACTTGAGGAAATTTTGAGGGTTATTTGCAGCCGTGGAAAAGGTGAACCATTACTTACACACAAGTGCCAATAGAAAACTGTGAAAATTACAAATAACAGTCCTGCATTTAAAATCCTATTTCGATGAAAATACACAAGTTCCTATCAAGTATCAAAGGTGGTTTCCAAACTAGGGTTCAGGCCTTTGGACTCCTCTGTTTGTGAAATAATCAAGCAGCAAACCTCCTTTGCCAAAAACTGCAGCTCCAGTTCCACTTGAGGCTGACTACAGAAGTGAGTCAGTCTCCATAAGGCCCCATATTACAATGTCCAACTTTACAGCAGAAATAAACACGTTTTCTGCCTGGTACAAAAAACGGTTTTGCTCTCTATATATAATTTCCTTGTTGTGACAACTCGACAGGAGGTGGATGTTTACATAACTCACCTGTTCAAATGAAATCAAGGCTTAAAGTTATGCACGATTAAGAGCATGGCTGCTTTAAGTGACAGGTGGGTGCTGTCACAGGTGGTTGTTTCCAGTAACCAGGCTTCATTCAGCCCACCTCAGCTCCACCCACAGTCCATATCTTTTCCTGTTTTTGGATGAGCAGGGAGCCAGCAGAGTCAGGACTGCCAAGATGAGGATGGCAAGAGCAGAATACACTCTGAGCTTTAGAACGGCTCTTCAGAAACCTATGGGCGACGTCACGGAGACTACGGAGAATTATACAGTCTATGGATATAATAATAATTCTACCTCTTTGGGCCTCTAAGAGTTTTTGATAAACCATGTAAGAGCTTTAGAAGGGAAATGTCTACAGTGGAACTGCTAACAAGACAAAAAGGTTGGCAACAGTTAACACTGCATTGTGTTTTATAAGATCATGTCCTAATCTAACTAGCAACTAAATCTGTCAAATGAATGTAGATGGGTAAAATATGCAATATTTCCCTCTGAAATGTAGTAGAAAGTAGCATGAAATGGAAATAGTTTAGATCAAATTTTGACTTCCAGTCAAGTCAAGCCTGTACTCAAATTGTGTGTCCACCCTTGGGTGAAAACTGTTCAGTTTGATTTACACCAACCACTTAAGCACAGTACTTGAGTAAACATACTTTCACAGCCAGCCACCGCGGGTCATCAAAATGTTATGGATTCACTTTTGGGCAGCTGTCCTGTCGCTGCACACACACACCCAGCATCTGCAGCCTGGATACTTTTATTCCCACACAAAATGCTGTATTAGGTTACTGCTAACAAAAACTGAACATTTCCGAACTGACTTTTATTTTGAAGTACACATCATAATTGTGCAGCCCTACAACACCGTAATAAAAAAATGTGAGCATAATAACATCACCTTCTTCCAAGCTACATGAAGAGGGTAAATAGTCTGAAGAGGTCAAGTCGAACGTGTTTTACCAACACTTAATGAAACACATTGGTCTCACAATAACATTGATCTCATATTATTTCTGGAGTAGTTTTGACCTCTACAGAACTTAAAGAACGGACTTGAATTATTCTGCAGGAATACAATACTTTGAGTAAGTTTTTACAAGACATTATATCAATGTCTTCCTTATTTTTTATATTTTTATTTTTCTTAGCAGTTCTTGACTAAAAGTATAAAAGAGTGTGATTGCGTGCTTCCTGGAGGTTTTGCTCTCCGTTGATTAAAAGGACATGCTTGATTACTTTTATCACACATCATTCTCCCTCATACCCAGTGCCTCTGCTTCCCTCCATGCTTTTTTAAGCAGATATATTCATACCGGTTTAATTGCACCGGGGCCATCATT